AAGGGAGAGCGTTACACTCCAGAGCCCCCCCAAGGGGATGGGGACAGAGAATGCAGACCTGGCAGCTACAAGCAGGTTTAGAACGAGCGGCAGTAAGGTGGAAACGTGCAGAGAGTAAAGAGGAACAAAAGAGTTGCCTCACTATCCTCTGCTTGGCGAGTCTTGAGCTGGGGCTTGATTGACCATGTAACGTACCACCTCCCAAGCTGCTGTGGTCCTGGCAGGGCTACCACAAGCAAGCAAAACGGGCTAAAGGAAGCACAGAAAGGAAGCTGGTCTTGCATCTAGCAGGAGCAAAGGTAGGGCAAGAGGGTGGCGGGCGCAAGGACAAGGCAGTCATGGGCAGAAAGAGAATTTCCATCATAGAGTTCCAGCCACACACCCAGAGGTCTTGAAACTTGCCAGTCTTGGCTGAAGCTTGCTGAGCGTCACACGCATTGATTGACGCGCATGAGCTGCAGGCAGAAGAAGGGAGCAGGCGAAGGCGGATGCAAGCAGCAGAGGAAGGTGGATGAGGAAGCAGACGAGGGTGGGGAGCAGACGAGGGTGAAAGGCAGACGAGGGTGGAAGGCAGACGAGGATGGAAGGCCGCCAAATCGAAGCCCCGTCCAACTGCAAGTCCTGCAACGCACAATGAGCCATATCGTCGACGCAGAGGGTGCATGTGAAGGGAAGGTTGCCAGCCTGGACACAAGCACGCTTACACTGTGATTTTTTTTTAAGCTCCTGAACCCTCCTGCCCTGCAGCTGCTGAAACAAAACCAGTCGAATTCGTGGGAGTACAAGATGTGTGCGACAGGAGGCGATTGGAAGGCAGTCAAAGTATGTTGCAGTCCACTCCAGTTTCATCGTTGAAATTCTGAAATCCCCGCGCCCTGCAGCTGCTGAAACAAAACCAGTCGAACTCGTGGGAGTACAGATGTGCGACGGGGTGGCGACTGAAAGGCAGTTTAACTATGTAGCAGTCCCCTTCATTTTATCCGTTGAGTCTCGGAAATCCCCGTGACATGCAGATGATGAAACACGACCCGTCGAATCTGTGGGAGTAGAGTGTGCGTGCGACAAAAAGGCAGTCAACCTGTATCCTTCCCACCAGCTGTGTCCTTCCCACAATAGCCGTGACTTGTAGATGCTGAAACGCAGAGTCAGTCGAATATGAGGGGGCACAGGGTGCATGCGACAAGAAGCCAGTCAGTCTGTATCACGAGACAGTCCCACCTGCTGTGTCCTTCCCAGAATCCCCGTAATTTGTAGAAGCTGAAACATAGCCAGTTGAATATGTGGGAGGGAGAAGAGGATACGAGCGACACAAAAGGCAGTCAACCTGGTTCCATTAAGTGAGTCCCCAAAATCCCCGAAACGTGCAGCTGCTGGAAGCACAAGTGGATGCTAGTGAATCATAACACACGTGCGAAGGGAAAGGGTGAACCTGGCGATGCTAAACCTGTAGTCGTTATTTAGACACCCAACTCGAAATCCATTCACTTCTTACGCTGGTCTTTGGGAATCTTTTGCTTCAATAAGCTTCTAGAGCCTGTTTAGCTGTTAGACACGAGACAAAGCACAAAGTTTAGAGTGTACAACTGCCGCGAAGTTTGCCAGGGTTGCTTGCCTTTGAAGGACCTGCTTAGTTGTAGCAGACGAAGAGAGTAAAAAATTATAATATCGTCTTTCCACTTCGAGGAATACAACAAGATAAAACCACGTTGAACCTGTCATACACAGTAAAGCCATGAACAGAAATACACAGATCAACAAGATAACACAGGATCGATCAAGGTGGAAAGACGAATAACCTCCATCTTCATGGACCCGTCGAGCCCAGGCGCGAAGTTCTCCGTAGACGGATAACGCCAAGTTCTTCGCAATCCAAAACGCGTTAACCCCTTTACAGCAACTCCTCGGGCCGGAAGGAAGTCGACGAACTGAACACGCACTCCAAGCCTCTGTTGATGCGCCGGTCTCGCTTTAGCATTCCCAGGACGTCGATGTTAGACACGAAATAACAGCAACATGCTCTCCTCCAAACTCGAACCAAATTCGAACGAGAACATATGCTAACCACGCGTGGCGCAAATCCAGCTCGCGCTGAAGGCCCGTCTGCAGATGAAGTAGCAGAATACAAACGAGCCGCTGCTGGCGTTCTCAGCCTCAAAGCTCCTTGAACGTTGACGGGCAACAGCATCCACAGCTTAGCAGCATCCTCAAAGCTCCTTGAATCGTCAGCATCCACAGCTTAGCAGCAACAATCGTCAGCGGCCCAAGACGCACCAACCGAAGAGACAGAACCCGGAGTGAGGATGTGTTACAGCTTCAAGAATACCGTAGCCGGAATCACGTCAGCGACAGCGGGCCAAGACGCACCGACCGAAGAGACAGAACCCGGAATGAGGATGTGTTACTGCTTCAACAATACCGTAGCAGGAATCACCACCATCAGAGTAGATGAATGGCAGCAGAAGTAGACACCATCGTGGATGCCGAAACAGCTTCAACCATCGTGGTTCAAGAGAAGACATGACCTCGGCGTAGACGACCCATCCATGCGAAGGATAACGAATGTCAAACAGAAAAACCTCATCCACACGGTCGAAGGATAGGTAAGCAGAGAGGACGGACGAGTAGACATTCCAACGGATCCATCGGAAAATCACGGACACCGGAAGAGGATTTTGCAATCATACAACAATCTAGCTCACAGAAGAGACGAGCCATGGTTGCAAGAAGCTGTCACTCGTACCTCCCACATAAGCTGTCAAACCCTGAAAACACTCGCATAATCACATTCCTGAACGTAAACAAAACTGAACAGCTGTTGAGTGAAATACCAGAGATGTGCTGGTTGGAGCAGGGAGTGGAAGTGGAAGGACAGGGAAGGAGTGGGTCAGGGGGTGGCTTGGCGACGCCGGCGACTGATGAGAAACCCAACTTCTAGGCACTGTGGCCATTCCCGCCTTTTCGCGAATATTCTTCGCCACCAAACCACTAGCTTCGGTTTCCCTGAAATCACGCGGACCGCTGAGGAGCATGGTGGCTCTTTCGTGCTGGTTCGCGAAAACGTCGCGAGCCCTGGGTCGCCTGACTAGTCGCCTCGCCCGAAACGCGCTCAGGCTTTCCTGCCACACTGCACCCACCTACCTCAGGAGGCAGACCTCCATGAAAGGTCTGGTGGTCTGGTGCCAGGGTTGCGTGACGAAGCGTGCACCTTACGTAAGGCACGAGGCAATTGTGGCAAGCAGACCTCGGTTTTGGTGCATGCACGAAGATAATGGCAATTGTGGCGAATGTCGCACATCCAGCGCGTCACATCACCACATCACACGGACCATTCCATGTGGACGGTGGCGAAAACGACGTTGAGGTTCGGTGTTGGGCAGGGGGATTTCAAGGTTGGTGAGTGCAGTGGTTTGACTCGTCCGCATTCACCCACCCACCTCCGCAACTCTGCAATTCGGGTTCCCATTACAGACTACTTCTTTAATAGCATTTGTCCCTGTTACACTTTCACTTCCATTAGGTTGCGACTTGTGACATTTATAAAACGTTTTGGGTTTCTGGCTCTGGCTGCTAGTGAGGTGGGTGCGGCCTGTTTGCCTGTGTACGACGCGGGAAGAGACCCACCCACCCAATCGCCCTAATGAGCATCGTTGGTGCTGTACATTCTTGCCAATCGCAATAACCCCGTTACCCACGGGAAATGCACGCATTCGTTATACGGCTTGTTCTCCATTGTCACGCTGTGGTTTCCCAATCGCTATGTTTTCACAGTCGCAGAAGGAAAGGCAATCGGTTCGCTTGACAGATCCAGAACCCAGCCTGTTCTGTCATTCCATTTGTACACCAGTGTGGTGCGACTCGGTCTGGGCTCTCGGGCGACACTCTGCGACGAGCCACTCGCATTTCTGACCGTCAGGGCGATTGATGCATCGAGCCGCACAGCCCAGCCAGTTTCTCTGACCAACCAATCGCGAAGCCGATAGAGTGTAGCATCCGCTTCGGCAGCATCTGCGCTCCAGAAACCAAACCTACTGCTGAACCTACATCTGCGGCACCATCTGCGCTCGTGCTGTATGTACGTTTGCTCGAGAGAAATCTCTCTCACAGCTTACAGGACAGGCCTTACCTCCGATAGTGGCGCCTTGAATTGGAATTCAGATGCCCCTTTTTCAACGATGCATCCAACCAGACAGTTTGTGTCTTTTGTAGAGCGATACGTACAAGGATCAGGGGAAAGTCGTCACTTTCCTGTCTTGCGGTGCTTGACAGCGAAACAAGGGTCTGTGGTTTCCGTGGTCTGTGATTTCTGGTCGCTGGAAATCTGAGTTTCAGCGAGAGCTCAGACCTAAAAACGCATCACACACAAACTAACCGGAAAGATCTTAGTGGCTAAGCTAGTCGTGTCTCTACTTGGAATGCGAGGGTTAGGTTAGCTACCTCGGTCACTTGAAAACACTGTAATCAGCTTCCAGCCCCCTTTCCTAGCCTCTCTCCGCCTTCTAGAAACAATGGCGACTTTGCCGTCGCAGCGCCTCGGCAGGTGGGGTTCGTCGCATCGAGTAGAGTCCGACGCGGACATGGGGAGTCTAGACCAGCTCCTAGAATCCCTAAAAAAGGAGCCTTCTAATTCCCGCAGGTACACCTCGATCGCCATCTCGCCTATCGGTACCGTATTCCGAGCGTCGTGGGTACTAATCGCCGTCTCTATCCTCGCCATAACAGCCGTATCGCTATTTATCACGCTCCAGCCAAAAGGGTTCACGGTATGGCACTTGACGATCAAGTCGCCGTCATCTCAGGGACGGGTGCTTCGAATCCACGTGTCGAGCTCCGGAGGCGATCAGTTCGAGCTTGAAGAATCAACTTCCGAGACGAAATCCGGACCGTTGGTTTCTCCTCAGATTCCTACAAGGCGTGTAGAGCTCGATGAGGGGGGTGACGGTATCAGGGAAGCGCGCCCCGTCGAAGCGGCTGAAAGGGATGTGACTCAAACGGTGGTGGCTATGAGGGAGGGGTTGGGCCGTAGAGGAGGGAATGAAGTCGCCTTGACCGCATCCGATGCTTCTGCTGACGGCGCAGGAACACGCAGCGATATAGTCACACCCGTTTCCAATGAAGCCTTGATAGGGTCACATCGAAGCGACGATGAAACCAAAGACTCGCAGTTTGCGTCTCCCGATAATAATGGGAGCACTGGCAGGGGTGCGACGAGCGTGAGTTCAGGAAACAGCGGTGGTGGTGACGCGTCAGCGGGGGGCACGTCAGCAGCCGGGGAGACAGCGCCTGATGCGGAGAAGGAGCTTTCGGCCGTCACTGCCGCGGTGGCAGGTAAAGGCGCTTCGGACGCAGCAGCAGTAAGCGAAGAGGCGAAAGACGCGAAGGACGCGGAAGGAGACGAGCCGAGGAGTGCTAAGACGGCAGCAAGTGCTAGTAGCAGTACCGGTCCTGCTTCTAACGAGGATAAAGGCATCCACGTGTTCGTATCGACGGACGAGACGGACCTCCGGCCGATCGCCGTGGTGATCAACTCGACGCTCGTAAACGCGCGCGAGCCGTGGCGCGTGGATTTCCACCTGGTGGTGCCGGAGAAAAACGTCGCTGCCATGCGCAAGAAACTCCTGCCGCTCTTCCCGTCCACGCGGATCGAGATTGTGAGGTGAGTCTCTTAAATAAATACTTCTTCCATCGCGGAGTTCGGCTCTCGCCCCTTTCCCACCCGTCTCTCACCTCTCTCCCCCCTGTCTCTCCCCCTTCCCCGCTTGTTTCTGCCCCTCTTTTCAGCATCAGCCCATCGCTCGCTAACGGCGCTACTGCCGCATTTGGCTCTCCCCTGTCTCTCACCCATCTCACACCTGTCTCTCCCCCTTCCTCACTTGTTCCTGCTCCCCCGTCAGCATCAGCCCCTCGCTCGCCAACGGCGCTACCGCCGCCACTGCTGCTGCACCCGCTGCTGCCACAACTGCCGGAGGAGCAGAAGGGGTAGCAATGGCGACAGCGGGAGAAGGAGGGCCGATGCGGATGGGGTGGTGGGAGAAGCTCGGCGCGCTTATCACGTACAAGGAGGGCAGCGGCGCGCGCAAGGAGCTCGTCTCCATCTTCAACTTCCTGCCCTTCTACCTCCCCCAGATGGCGCCGCAATTCCGCCGGATCGTGTATCTGGACGCGGATGTTGTTGTGGTGGTGAGTGTGGAGAGGGGAGGGTGGGAGAGAGGAAATGATTAGTAGGGGGTAGTGGTGAAGATTGTTGTGTTACCTGAGTGGTGGTGCTCGCTCAATTTCGCCGGATCGTGTATCTGGACGCGGGTATTGTTGTTGTGGTGAGTGAGGGAGAGGAACGGGGGGTGGAAGAGGTGGAGGGAGGGGGGAGGAGGGCATGAGAGTGTGTGAGTGAGGGAGGGTTGAGGCTGTATGCGGATGTGGGGTTGTGTGAAAAGCGGGGTGGGTGTGGGAGGGAGTGGGGAGGGGGGAGAGAAGGTGGACGGATGAATGCATCTCCAGTTTCCAGGAGCGAGTCTCGCCCTTTGTACCTTGTGTTTCTCTCACGTGGCCATTTCCGCCTTGGGAACAACGCGTTCTGTAAAATTCGCTTTTGCTTCACTTTCATCCCAACCAGGGCGACATCGGGGAGCTTGCTGACGTGGACATGGAGGGGCGACCAGTGGCGGCAGTGCAGGACTGCATGCAGACCTTCAAGACCTACTTTGACTTTGACCAGCTGGCGGCCATTCAGGTGAATACTCAGGTAGTTATTCAGGTGAATATTCAGGTGGGTGGTAGCAGTGTAGGACTGCATGCAGACCTTCAAGACTTACTTTGACTTTGACGAGCTGGAAACGATTTAGGTGAATACTCGGGTGAAAATTCAGGTGGAAAATCAAGTGAATACTCGGGTGAATATTCAAGTGGCAGGTGGCCAGTGGAGGTTTGCATGCAGACCTTCCCAGGTTCGTTTTCCTGGTCAGGCTCAAACGGATCCTTCCAAACCAAACCTTGAATGCTGATTGAGCCATGTGGAGTCCATATGTGCCCTCCACTCATGCATGTACAATTCTGGTTACAACGTAACGTTCACCTCCTCATTTCTGCTGCTCCACTTTCCAAGCCATGGATGCCCTCAGGGACTTTCAACCAGGCCACATGCGTCTTCAAATGTGGAGTGCTTGTCATTAGCATACTGCGCTGGTTACTCTGTAACATCCTACCTTCCACCCGTGCTGCTCGCCCCTGCAGGCTCGGGGGGCGGGATGACCCTTCCAAGCCAGGATGACTTCTCGAGGCCGTACAACAAGACTGCCTGCGTTTTCAGCTGTAGCATTCTTCTCATCGACAGCAGTGGTGGTTACTCTGTAACATTTTCTTCAACCCGTGCTTCTCCCCCTGCAGGCTCGGAACGAACCTTCCGATCCATGGATGCCCTCTCGAGGCGTTTCGACAAGACCACAGGCGTTTTTTAGAGTCTTGCTCACGCACGTGCAGAGCTGATGATAACTTACTAACATTCTCTCTTTTGCCTGTGCTTTTGTTCCACCCCAGGCAAGGAACGACCCTTCCAAGCCATGGATGCATCTTCAACCCTGGCAACGCTGGTTACAAAGTAACATCCTCCCTTTCGCCTGTGTCGCTTCCCCCTTCCCCCAGGCAAGGAACGACCCTTCCAAGCCATGGATGCCTTCAGGGCCTTTCGACAGGACCACATGCGTCTTCAACCGTGGAGTCTTGCTCATGGACGTGCAACGCTGGTTACAAAGTAACGTCTCCGGAGCGATAGAGTGGTGGATGGCCGAGTTCAGCCGCGCACCCAATCCCCTTTATAAGTTCGGTATGTCGCAGCCGCCGTTCCTGTTAACGATTTACGACCGGTATAAGAAGCTGGACCGGATCTGGAACACCCGAGGCTTGGGAAGGGACAGGTTCGGCGAGAAGGAACGGGACTACCTAGCCACGATCGGGCTCGGGCGGCCACCGAAGCGGCCGTTTGTCAGTTTCTGGGCGGATTCGGCCAAAATCTTACATTTCAACGGGAAATTTAAGCCGTGGAGGGGGAAGAGGGAGAGGAGGGAAGGAGATGAGGTAAAGTCAGTGTGTGGGGAGAAGAGGTTCGACTGTGCGAGGTTGTGGTGGCAGTATTTGTCTCCCGAAGCTGAGGCTGAGCTTCGGCGGAAAGGCAAGGGGAAGAAAGTGAGTGCTGCGACAAACGCTGTGCAAGATAAGTAGACAGGACAGGATGCCTGATAATTAGGTGGACCGTGGAATGGTGAAGATTCTTAAGGATGGGGGCCCTTGAGCAGGTAACTCGAATTGTGTGAGACTGCGCGGTGCTGAGGTGTGCCAAATGCTGTGATAAGTGGGTGATTACTTCCGCCTGGCTCTGCTTCCAAGGCTGAAGCTAACCTAAGGAGCAGGCTGGTTTCCCTGGATATGAATTGGTACCGTAGTTGGGACATCTTTTATCATTATTGTCATGTATACTATATGGTGTCTGGCGATATTGTTGTGTTCTCCAGGGTACTGTTTTGGTGGAATACAGTTCAGTCTGTGCGGTTACTCTCGTTGCGTCACGGTTTGGAACCGTGAAGCATGATAACCTCTATGCACCTTGTGGAGTGTGTGAGGAACTTGAGGTCTGGACTCCAGGTTCTGGACTCCAGGTTCTGGAGTGTGTGAGAAACTTGAGATTAATGTGTATTCCGCTCAATATACAAGTGTCCCTTTGAGCTGAAAACTGTTCTGAAAAGGGCAAGAAGGCTCTAGCATCATGTATCTAAAATCCCACGGCAAAGGCGCTAGCAAAATCAACAATCTAGGGGTACTACAATCAATCTACAGGAGAGTGACTAGATACGTATATGTATATGTACGTGTTGCCTTCCCAAGCCCTTCCAGCCTCCAACCCTTCAGCCATCCCCCTTCAGACATCCCCTGCGTTCTCTCTCAACCAGCAGTCATCCACTTCCATGATAAGCCGCATGTCCATCTGCTCCAGCTCATCTGCTGACATGGCAGTCACAGCAGCGTCCACCTCAGCATTAAGCTTTGCCACGTCAGCTGCACGCTTTTCTGCGTCAGCTGTGGGCAATGTAGCAGGGGAAGCAATAGCAGCCACGGGAGTGGCAGGGTGTAGCCTCTCTATGAGGCCTTGAAGAACGTAGTGTAGCTCCTGGTCGGCCCGTGAACCACAGGAGAATGACAGCTTCGATTTATCCAACTTCGTATGGCGTACGTGGTGCAGCGAATTTCTTTCAGCAAGCCGTGGGGGAGCTGATCCCCACCGTCGATTTTCCATTGAGACCTGACCTACTACTGGGGGTGGGAACACGCCTTTCCCTTCAGTGCGTCTCCCTGTATCGCGTTTCACGCCATCGTCAGCATCAGCACCATAATGATGATACCTCGTCTCCCTTACGCTATCCTCGTTACTCGCGATCCGAAATTCGCTACAAGCAGTGTCAGATAGACACCCGTCTTGCACGTCATTGCTGCTGCAGACGCTGTCCCTCAGCCGTTTCTGGCTCGAAACTCGATTTTCTTGGTTCAAATCAAACTTGCCGCCGTCGTTAAGATTTTCATCGTCCAAAGGTTTTGCCGCTTCGTCCCACGCTTTGTCCAGATCCACGCAGACGTCCAGATCTTCATCGGACGGTTCCCATCCCATACCAGTTTCCCCGCCGCGGCAGCAGGGCCGTTCCGCTCCGGGAACGAGTTCTTCCGGCCGAGTCGGCGGCGCCGCCATGGCGGCCGCGGCATCGACTCTTGAATAAAGTCCGTTTGCGTTTGCGTCACCAGTCATGCCGCGATGATGGATGGCCGCGACTCGGAGTCCGAAGCTTCGACTGGAAGTCTTCTGATCAGCGAACTTCGCGGATTCGTCGCAGATTTCAAGGCTCGGAAAAGTCGAAAAGCCAGGCAGAGCCGCAGGAAATTGCGAATTGAGGTGTCCTAGTAGCGATTCGGTGCCGGGACCAATCGTAGTCCCCACCGTTGCCGCTGCAGCCACTCGGAGGGCCTCCGAGAGTTGCGGCGACGGGTAAGACGCAAGACTGCTGTCTCCTAGGTGGTATGCGCTGCTTCCGACGCCATACGCGTCATAGTTGCAATCTAAAAAAGCGGGGTCCATGCTAGTTCAGGTCACGCGTATCCCTAACTAGGGTCTCGGACGGAGATGTGGCGGTGAGAGAACACACACAAGCTCCAAAGAAACAGGTGAACGATTTGGTTCTGGAGAACCCTGTGAGATACAAAATGATTGTGATAGCGCCCGTGCGTGCACCGACGAGGCTGATATCTCACCGAGTCACCGCTGAGTCGGCTTGCGTTACGTTGCGAGGGGAGTCGATGGAGCAACAGGGGGAAACGAATGTGAGGTGAGGACAAAGGGAGCCTGAGGTGCAGGAAGAAGAACACGGTTCAGCATGTTGGCAGAACGGCTTCATGCGGTGCGTTGTGGTTCTTTCCAAGCATTCCCTGAAGTTTGCCCACCATCGAAGTTCAGACATCGCGCGCAATTCCCGCCCCGCGTATTTGCAAATTGAATTGACATTGGGGACGGTTTGGTCTGGCATTTTCATGGATTCCCGCACCTTGTCAAGATTGTCAAAAGGCTCCAAAAGAGTTTCGCCCTCGAAGAACCACGGACGAGTTCGAAATAAGTTTGGGCTGTCAATTCGACAAATACTACTCCTGAAATTGTTGTCAGAATATCATCGATGGGCAAACTAGAAAAACCTGCGCTGGACCTGAAAACCTCTTTCAAGGCACACGACAAAGCATGACAAATCACTCAAGTGCACAAGTCTGCCAGTGAAGCTGCTGCTATCCAGAATTTAGGCGGGAAGGCGACTAAATGGCCAATTCTTAGGACCATCGAAAGGGTCGCAATGACAAGGCCTCCGCCCAGCGACCACTGTACTGGCTGCAGAAAGCACTCCATGGGACGTAGTTGTCGTCAATTGGGCAGAGATACTTTCCTGGGACGTGCGTATGCTCCTGAGTGAAAGCCTATGCATTTACTGTTACTGTACAGAATGTAGAACAGCGAAGGACCATACGCCACAATAGAGGAACCGAAATGTCTGTGGGGGTTACAGCCAAAATGTCTCTGCTTGCCAAATTTGGCGTTTCTACACTAGTGGCGTGGGGAGGGACCGAGATCCGACATTCGAGGAAGTTCGGCTCATCGCCCGTGCGTTTCAGAAGGCCTGAGGTGCTGGGACCACGAAATGAACATGAGCGTAAATTGCAATTTCTCACACTACGAACGTTAGCCAATTATCCCATTTTCATGTAGCAGTGCTACCTCGGACCCCCACCGTCCGCTTCTCCCACCCTCTACGCGTAACAATCACTTAGGGGAGCAGCAAGTTCTAGGAGGAGGCTAGCCCGTGAGAAAGGAAAACTCGACGGAAGCGAACTCTGGTGGTTTTTACGGATGGGGAGATGTGAGGTTGTGAGGTTTTGCAACATCTAATAACTATTTCGAACATCCCTTGTTTGAAGGGCTGGTCCTAATTTGGGGTAGAATTGAACTGAACCATTCCACGGAAGCAGTAACTACATGTTGAAAAAAAACTACTCACATAAGTGCACCACCTCACATGAAGCGAGCGACAAAGCACAAACGCTTCTTCTCGGTCCTGCCGCATGTTCTGACGAATGGTGGCTCGTCTTCACGTGCTGCATACATCTTGTGGTCAAAGTTGTGTTCCCTTCCCTCCCTTCAGGTGTTGGTCTTGAGCGTTTCTCGGGCAGCGTCGACAGCGGCTTCACAAACACTTGTCCTCTTCTGGCCGTTGACTGCAAGCATTTCTGTTCGCCTTGTTGGTTGAGAATGCTCCTCCTGGTTTGATGGGGCAGAGCCCTCGATGTGTTTTGGGGCATCCTGCCAGAAACAAATTGTGACCAACTTTCACCCTGCAACTGCAGGGTGCCAGGCGCGGCATACTCAAGAAATTGCAGGGTGTTTGGTTTTTCATTGTCGGAGTTGGCAGTGAAAACAATTCGCTAACACTGTTTTCCTTGTTTACTTTTGGGTTGCGTAGCAAACTCTATAGATTTGTTTCATAGCTTGGGAATGTCATTTCAGGATTTAAAATTTATGCACACTTTGAAGTACGTCTTTCAAACATATGCATCAATAAGTGGATAAACTATCATTCTTGAACAACAACCCCCAAAATGCGAGACCAGACACGCGCGTACCATGTCGAAACCATGAACGCGTCCGACTATCCGGGCATCGCCCATTATTGTCTCTGAGGATATGATCGGACAACAAATACTGACATTGATATGTACAAGTGCAATTTGCAAACTAATACAGTATGTACGCACGAGTGACTTTGAACATAAGTATCGAAGTGGATGCCTTCGTAACTCAATGCAGCAACAGAGATTGACGGGGTCATTGAAATGGCAAAGACCCGATGCCGCAACGACGATGACAACCCCACAATGCAAACACGATCCATATTAGCCTCGAAACACAGACACACAACGCATTAACATAAGTGAAACACAAACTCGTAGAATGGCGATAGCATATTACGACTGTGAATGCATCAAAAGTAATGCTAAAATACATCAATGTTGCGACATATATTGATGGGGTCGTTTAAACAGCGAAAACACGCTGCCCCAACGACGATCACAACCCAAATACGTCAACATGTTGCATGCATGAGTCAATTTAGCACCACCCCAAAAGAAACACAACCCACAAACTCTTGGAACAATTAGGAATACAACACGATATACATGTACACGTTTGCGCGTACAAACACCCGCATTCACGCACACTTACACACAGATAGACCCATGATGAGCATGCAAGCATCAAAGCATTGCAAGTGAGTTTAGCGATGTGTACAGCATTGCTAGTCTGGCCCCTCTTCCCCTCCCTCCACCCAACTTTCCCTCCCTTATCTCGCTCCCCCCCTCCCTTACCCCCCCCCCCCCCCTTTTCCCCTCCTCCTCCCCCCCTCCTAATCTATCTTCTTGCTCTCTCCTTCCCTTTCTCTCTTTCCCACAACATTTATCTTCGCAAGCGAAAACATATAATGCCGATTGCATGTCCTGCAAAGGAAAGCCAAAACAGGTGATGCAAACTGTCAAACATTGTATATGTTTGTGTTCTATAGGCTATAGTGGGTTTAGCCTTAGGGGGTACAACTTCTAGGTTTTCCTACTTGTACTCCCAATGTTTCTAGTCAACACACTTC